TTATGCAATAACACTGTCCCTAAGCATCGATAAGCTTATTTGGAAGAGAAATAATTTAGGCACTTATATTGTGAAGTCTACATATCAGACTTCTCTCAACCAAAAGCCATCTTCCTTTGCCTCCTCTTTTAAATGGTCGTCAATCTGGAAAACTAAAGTGCCCTTCAAATACCAGGTGTCAACACCCGATTTTTGTTCAATTTGCCGTCTAAACCTTCAATTTGCCCCAAACATCTGATTGGACCCATCCAGCTCTCTAGAACACCAAAAAACCAAAAAATCCCAACTTTTAGGCCCAAATTCACCATTAAACTTACCTGATACCTATCCGATAGCCCTGATCAACCCCCACTTCCACTTCAGCCTAAGCACTTGGAACCCATATCCCCTTCATCTTAACACATCCGAACCAATCAAACCACACCATTAAACTCTAGATACATCAAAATACCATCTCATAAGGTTTCAACCCTATTCCCCCATTTGTCTTTCCATCAAACCAAGATTTCATTCAAACAAATCCCGTTGACTCAAATTTTTACGATCCTGACCCTCTGAATTGATCATACACCATCGTTAGACTTCAGAAACACTAAAACACCTACACACCAAATTTCAGCCCAAAATACCTCCATCTACCATCTACCATCCACCATACCAAGATTCCATTTCACGACCGCAAGCTGGCCGGATCTCATATCTACCCGTGGGCCCAGTTGGCCCAATCTAACACCTCAAATTGCCCAAAAACCTTACCCTGTGAAATTTCACCCAAAACTGTCCTTGCTTGCCCCGTCCTCTGAAGATTCTATCCCAAGGTTCCGGACAAGCCGAATCAAGCCCTTTTTAAATCTGCCTAACCTAGACCCAATTGAGCCAATTTGACCCCACCAATCGACCCAGAACGTCCAAAACACCCACCCTACCAAATTTTAGCTAAAAATTACCAAAATACCCCTTTACTAGATCACCAAAATTACATTCTTTCTAAATTGCCAAAATACCCCTTCATTCTAAATTCCCAAAATACCTCTTAACCAAATCACCAAAATTACCCTCTTTCCAAATTGCCAAAATACCCCTTCATTCCAAATTCCCAAAATACCCCTAACCCAAATTCCTAAAATATCCCTAGCCCAAATTCCTAAAATACCCCTTCTTTCAAAATTACCAAAACACCCCTCATTTATCAAATTCCCAAAATACCCTTCACCCAAATTCCTAAAATACCTCTTCTTTTATAGTTACCAATATACCCTTCATTTGCCAAATTACCAATATAGCCATTATTTCCAAACTCTTAAAATGCCATTAACCTAATTACCAAAATACCCTTCACATCAAATACCCAAAAATACCATCTTTTCAAGTCACCAAAAAATCCCCTCATGCCCTAAACTTCCAAAAATACCCCTTAATTTCAAATTCCCAAAATGCCATTGACCAATTACCAAAATACCCCTTGGACCAATTTCTAAATACCCCCTAACCTAATTCCTGAATTACCCCTTTTCCAAATTCCCAAAATACCCTTAACCAAATTACCAAAATACGCCAACCAAATGCTCAAAACACCCTTGACCAGATTACCAGAATTACCCTCATTCCAAATTACCAAAATACCCCCTGACCAAATGCCCAAAATACCCTTGACTAGATTATCGGAATTACCCTTGCACCAAATTCCCAAAATACCCCTTGATCAAATTCCCAAAATACCCTTAACCAAATTACCAAAGTGCCCCTTAGACCAATTACCAAATACCCCCTAATAGGGGTGATCATTTCAGCCCGGAAATTTCAGGCTTGGGCCTGGGTTTTGTGTTCAAGCCTAGCCCGGCCCCGGGCCCACATTAGGCCCATAAATTTTAGGGTCGGGCTTGGGCTTAATACTTCAAGCCCAGCCCGGCCCGCATGTATTTAAACTTACACATTTTGTGTATAATGTATACATATGTATATAAGTTATTTTACATTATATTATATATTTTATATATGAATATTGTAACATGACATGTATAATTTATATTATGTGTAATATTTTATATTATATAATGTATAAAATAAGTTTATATGCATGTTATGTCATTTAATATAAAATATTATAGATATATAATGTTTTATATATATGAAATACATTGGCCCAGAATCAGGCTCGGCCTGGCCCAGGCCTGTGTAGACCTAGGCTAGGGCTTATATTTTAGGCCCAAAAACCCGGGAGAGAAAGGGGTCAGACGAGAGAGAGAGAGAGAGAGAGAGAGAGGAAGAAAGAGGTCAGAGAAATTCAAGGGAGAAAGAGCTCTCCCGTTTTTCTAAGAAAAGAGAGAGCGCAAAAGAGAGGGGTTGAAGGGGAGGAGTTTGGAAGGTAGAGGCTCTCGGTTCTTTCCTTTTTGAGGAGCTACTGAGTTGAGACTGAAGGGGAGAAAGAGAGAGAGAGAGAGAGAGAGAGAGAGAGAGAGAGAGCGTAAAAGAGAGGGGGAAATCGAGAAGAAGGAGAAAGAGCTTGAATGGAAAGAGAGAAACCATGAGGGGATTTGAGAGAGAAATCAAGAGAGGCTGAGAGAGAGGCTTCTTCGAGCTAAAAAGAAAGGAAGAGATCAAGGAGAGGAAAAGGTGAAGTGCCATCCTTTGTGCCTTCGAGTTGTTGTTGTGTCTTCGTAACTTCTAGAAAATCCAATAGCAACATTGCTTCATTAGTCTAAGGCTACATCGAGGTAATGCCCTTACCTCATCTCAGTCTTCTAGATTTGAGCCTCACATACTTGTTTGATAGCTAGAGCTATTGATTTAGTTCAGTTTATTTCATTAGCTTCTTTTCTTTTTGTTCTTTTATTTCTTTCTCATCTTGTTCCTACAAGCGCGAGAACAATGGTGTTTTTAGGTGTTTTGTGGGGATTGATACACTCCTTCGACCCTTCAAACTAGCCAACTGAGTCCGAAGGTGGGGGTTTTGATAGAAAAGGGGTAGGGTTTCCTACCCTTTTGCTCAGACCCCTGCGTCCAAAAGGGTCTAGACTGAAGGATAAGGGAGCGTTCTTCATACCCTTCCTTATTGTCAGAAAACATGGGTTCTTAGGTCTAATTCGAATGTAAACAAAGAGGGAATTTCGACATTCACACCGATTGGTGAGAATGGTGCCTAATCCCTTCCATCTCTCCCTCTCACAAACGTGGTAGAAAATAAGGTGTTATTTATCAAAATTCATGGGTGGGTTTTGATTGGTCAAAACTCTTTCCATATCATATCTTTTCTACATCGTAGATTTCCCCTTTTTGTAATCATGAAGTGGAGACTTTTTCACATCTATTTTTTAAATGCCACTTTGTAAGAGCTGGTGTCAAGCCCAACTTGGTATAAATCCTACAACAGTAAATGGTGAACTTCTACAACAACTTATTTCAGATTGGCTTCAATCACTCGAACAATCATTTAATGCAGATATGAGATTATGCTTTCTCTCCAAATTTCAGGTACTCCTATATATGTTCTATGAGGCACACAACAATAAATTTCATCTTAATAAGGATGTGAATCCCGTCTTCCTGGTGGACAAAGCAAATGAAATAATTGTTGATTCATGTCTCACTCTTTGCCATAACAAGTTAAATGCATTATCTCTAAGTCCAATAACTGAAAACCATTATCTAGTATTCGCTGATGGATCATATGATCAACACACTGACAATGCAAGCATTGGTATTATCATCGAATGACTTGGTCATAGGCAATACATTACTGCCCAAGGATCAATATGTAGAGCCATGGATACAATGTAGAACTGAGTTCGTGGTGAGCTGTGATTTTAACAATGAAAAGTGTGTCAGTTTGCGTCAGAGAGAGAGAGAGAGAGAACTCACCGCCGCCGCCGGTGCCTATATTCGCCGCCTCGCCGGTGTTTGAGATTTGAAAGAGAAGTGAGAAGAGGAACAAGAGAGAAAGAAAGAAAGAGAGAGAAAGAGAGAGAGAGAGAGGGAGGGAGAGAGAGAGAGAAAGAGAGAGAGAGAGAGAGGTTTGCCGCCTCGCCGTCGGAGTTGTTGCGCTGGTGAATGTTTGCTGCCTCGCCGGTTGTGTGGCTGCCTGAGAGTGTGAGGACTGAAGAGGATGTGAAGAGAAGAGAGGTTTAGGTTAGGGTTTTTTAAGTTTAGTCTATAGGTCGAGCTAGGCCGGGCTCAGGCCGGGCTATTTTGGCAAATCCCGAGCCTGGCTCGAATTTATTGCGGGCCAGGCTTTTTGCCCCGAGGTTAAGCCCGTGGGCTCATTTAGTCCACTATGATTTAATTTCCAACCTTTTTGCTTGAAAAAAACTACCTAGCCTGACAGGGTTAAGTTGGTGTGCATTTACCACTCAAAACCTTCTGACATCTCTTATTTGTATTTTTTTTAGCCCACATCCCTTACCTATATTGTGTAAGTGTAATATGCAATACATATGATACTGATCATGGGCCTGGTTGGGGTTTGCACTTATGATAAGAGCTACAACTTAGGTCCAGGCCTAGCCTGATGCCTAAGTTTTGGGCTTAAAACATAAGTCCAGGTCCAGGGCGATTGGGCATGATTCCGGACCTATATATTTTATATATAAAATAGTACATATATGTAATGTATTATATTAAATGGCATATAATATACATATAATTTTATTTTATACAATATATAATATAAAATATTGTATGTAATACATATTATAATATTTAAATATAAAATAAATAATATAATGTAAAATAACATATATATACATTTAATGTCATATATGTAATAATATACGTATATATGTAACATATAACATATATATGTATATGTATATTAAAATGGCATATATATAATTTTATACAATATATAATATAAAATATTATATATAACATATATTGTAATATATTTAAATATAATATGGTATAACATAACATCACATATATACATTATATACAAAATACTTATATTTTTTTAAGAGTATAAAATACATATATTTAAACATATGCGGACGGAGCCGGGCTTGCGAGCCGGGCCTGATCGTAAAACTTAGGCTCAAACCTGGAATTTCCCGGCGGGGATGCTACATAGATGCCGCTTTCCTCTGGACTATGCCATCTCTACCTGCCATTCCCTAAATTACCCCTCGCACTTACAGAATCGACTATCTTCCCCTGCTGTAGTCTGTAGTGACAGTCATCCTTCGTTCCTTTAAAGGAGTCCAAAGTAGAAAGACTGAAATCTCGCCTAGGGCTCGTTTCTCTTTCATCGCTGGTCCAGTCCTAGGTACACTTCTTTGTCGTCAATATTCTGAAAATCCAAAGGGAAAGGGCAAAATGTTTGTAAGTCTGACATGTTCAACGAAATCTTTGGTTGTTGGTTGCAGACAAATGGCTGCCGTTTCGGTCCATCAATTCGCTCAATGCATCACTTGCCATGCCTGGAGTCCTGATCACACAAGTAAGCTTCCGAATTTTCTTCTGTATCACTCGAGTCGAGCAAGCACGATTTGGATTAGCTCTTGCAACCAAATTGGATGGAATAACCAGAAAGTTTGCTCCTTTTAAATCTTTCTGTTATAACCATATTGCTCTTAATTCGGATCCGATCATTCAGTTCTACGTGGATCTCGTGCGTCTGAAATCGTTTTTGTTACTTTGTTATTATCTCCCCAATCTCACATTCCGCTAATAAAATTTGATATTTGTGAGGAAATAATACAAAACATGTAAAAAGAAAATGAAAATCTTATGATTGTCTATCAAACGTATTGGAATGCTACCTTCTGGACAATGAGGGATATTTGGCTTGTCTCCCTACTTCTCACATTTTGAGTTTGTTGCCGTTTAACTTATTTAGTTAGATTTTTCAGATAATCAATTTAAGAAACTATGGTCATATTGTTGTTTATTTTTTATCAGTAACAATTTTTTCGTCCTTAATTTTGAAATACAATTTCCATAGATCTCAATTACTAGAATAAGGACTACGGGGTGCCTGGGCCTGGTAGGCAGACTCCTTTACAAGATATAGCCTCTAGGAAAAGAAGGAAGATCTTGGATCATCTTACTCCTTGGTGTTTAATCTCTAGCAATATCATGGTCTGTCAAGTTCGTTGATCTTGGAATTCAATGGAATAAGAGGTTCACTTTTGATATCAAAGATTTCCCCTCCATCCTGCCACAATCTCTCTCTCATGGATATCCTTCACTAACTTGTAGGAACTCTGACAGTCTAAGGTCTTTGATAAAAGGAATGCGATAAGCTTTTACATAATTGCCTTCGCTAACCTGTTCACTATATGCCAAGATAATAAACCATCATTGTTCCTTCAAATTCTTGAGAATCCTGGGTTGCATAGAGGACTGCCATCAACGCTAAGCTTGATGGTTTTTACTTGGGGTGCCCTTGGCAGAACATGTCTTGCTTTGAAGGGTGCAGTTCTGGTCTGTCCAAACTACTTTCTAATGAGCGCCTTTCTTGTAGCTCCTGTAAACATATCCAATGTCTGTAGCAATGGAAAATTTGATGATAAACCACAGAATTTGCTTATCCATTGGTACTGACCATACGTTTTCTCTGTCTTTAAAAAAGGAAATAAAAAATGGAATATAATAAAAAAGAAAAGTGAGCCATTTTTTTCTATTAAAATATTAAAACACCATTATAACCCCTGAAGTCTTGATGTGATTGTCCTTTCATCAATAAAATAATATTTCTTACAAACTTGATTCGAACAGAGAGAGAGGGTGGATCTGGTGGATAGAGAAAGGTAGATAGACAGCAGGACATGTATTAAGTTATAATTTAAAATATAACAAACAGATTGAAAAGAAGAGAGGCAAACTCTCAACAGTCTATCAAAAGATACAGCTAGTCATTATGATCACTGAACCACACCCATGTGAGATGCAAGACCAAGCAAAAAAACACAAAAATCTGCGCATGTGGTGTTGTCACCGTGTGGAAACCATACTCTGAGAGCCCAGGCTATCCACATTTCACCATTTTGTATTAATATGCATATACAAGATGAATACACTACCTTAACTTCTGTTAAAAAAAGTTTTACATTGTATGTAATTTGTTTCAGTCCATTTATTTAAGACCTATTCTAAGTTTTTTTTTTTGATCAATAACAGTAACTTTTATTAAGAAATAAGATGGAAAATTACAACCATAATGGAGAGGTAAAAAGTCTTAACCCTCCCTGTCACAACTGAAAAAACAGATTACAAGAGAGCCCAAAAGAAATTTGCTCTTCCCACCCCCTGTTTAGCCAAAGGTTCTGCCATAGAGTTAGCACTCCTCTTGGCCCATTGAACCCTTATATGCATGTTTTGAGTTAACTGATTAATTTTCTTTTTTTCATTTGAAAACTTCCACAGGCTGGACTCTTCCTTCTGCAACCATCTAACAGTCAGCCGAGAGTCACCTTTCACCAGAAAATTACTGATTTTCAACTGCTTAGCTCTTTTAATCCCTTCTAGAGCTGCCAAGATTTCATCTCTCAGTGAATCCCCCAATCTATAGGTCTCCTGAAAATACCACCTATGCCTGAAGGGCCCGGATTTCCTTCATTGCTACCACCAAAGTTCAATTTGATGAAACCCGAATCTGGTGGAGTCCAAGCTGGACTAAGAGCAGTAGACATGGGAGCTGACTGAGCCACTTCTTCCCAATTTCTTATAATGTCTCCTACTGAATAGGCTTCAAAGAGCTTCAAAGACTTGACCCAATGAGCCACCCTAACGTATATTAATTCAATGACGGCTTCCTTGCTTTTTTCTTTTTCATGAAATATTCTTTGATTTCTTTCCTCCCAAACCGTTCAACAAACAACAGCTCTAACACATCTCCACAAGATTTTACCTTTCTAAGGTATTTCTCCATATATTGAATTTTACATTCAATCATTTTTTAGTTTCATCAATTAATGCTATGTCATCAACAAACAATATGCACCATGGGATCTTCTGAATGTGTTTAGTCAATCCATCCATTATTAATTCTATTATTTAATATTTAAATAGTATTACCTCAATAATTATAAAAACAATAAACAATATTGTAGGGCAGTGCACAACACTTTTTCTTTTCCTCTTTGGTTGCTTTGATGGGAGGGGGTCTTGCTACCTTTATTACATTATATTAGTAATGCCTTTTTGATCTGTTGCTGATAAAAAAAGCTTATATAATATTATTTTATTCTTTTCCTCTTATATCTTGTGCTAAGAGTTATCTATTATTTATTTGTCCATGCTCGTTGTTATCTATTCTGATTATCATGTCACCTCATATCAGGCCATTGTTTTCTAGTATAAATGATGATTTCAACATTCAGCATTGCTGGTTGTATTCCTATTTGTTTCTATTTTGGTTCTATGATTTATTTGTCTAAATATTCATAAATAAAAGATGACTCATTGTAGGTTCCTCTTAACATTTTTGTCCATCATAGTTTTTACGAAGTTTATAATGGATTGGCATTTCCTTTGTAGTGGTTGCACTTTGTCCCAACAATAATGAAGTTCACATCTATAGATATTCACTTGACAAGTGGGAAAAAATACATGTTCTTCAAAAGGTATGTCACTCAAATGTTTGTGCTGGTGATATAGGTAGATTTGACTTTCAGTAAAACTGACCTTGAATCTAATTTTGTTTTCTCTTCACTTTGAGTTGTGGAATTAGTATTAAAAATTTGGCTTCCTTTTATACTGGCGTTCTTCATGAACATCTATGGCTATCTATGTTTCAGCATCAACTATAGTTTAAAATCTTGAAAAGTCAAGTTGATCCAGATTTTTGCAGAATGGTTCATTCAGGAAGTTTAATAGATTGAATTCTATGTGTCAATGAGCATTCTTATCATGGCTCAAGTTGGCACCTATTAAAAATGGTTTGTCTAGTAGCAGGTGAGAGATGGGGGCTTATTGGAAGGTTCTTTGATCATTTGTGAGGTTTCATGCTTTCACCCAAATGGAGTGACAGAACTCAAGTCTCCACTTTGGGTGTAACTGCTTTAGGTGGTATGGAGGATGGTGCTATGGAGAAAAGCAGATAACACTTCAATGGAAATGATCTATTTGGAAAACAAACCAGAGTTAGAAATGGATCAAGTGTTTGAGGCTGATCATAACTCAAAGATAGAATTAGAACTCAAACAAATTGGTAAAAGAATGATGACCATTTGTTTAGGATCCACTGAGCAACTGAATATTTTCTGAATTTGATGAATATGACTGTTTAGAATAAGAAATGGAAAAAAGGCATGTGAAGAATACAGAAGAAAAATTTTCCATTTTTCTTTTCTTCTTCATTCCATTTTTTTTTTCCTTTTTCTTTTTACTGGAATTGAGCATTAGAAGATGAATGACATGGTTTAGTTTTTTGCTGATGCATTGGGATATTTTTTTGAGTTCTTGAGATGATGGTAGGTAAAGAGGCCATTACTTGGTTTAATGGTAAAATCTTGGGCTGACAAGTATAAGAATGCAGGTGGTTTGATTGTGTTAGTGGCCACTTCATGCAAAAGATGAAGGTTGGCCATATGGCTCACTGAGAAACTGAACCAATAACAAAATAAAATAAAATATTAATTGTTATTGGAGTTCTTTTTTTATTTCTGCTGCTAGAGTGCTGTTAGTCTAGAGTGTTGTCAGCATGTTCTTTTCTTTGTTTAATTATTTTGTTATTAGGGTGTGCAGCCAGGGGTATGATTGCAATTTTCTTTTCTTTTATTTACTTCATGTTATTATAAATAAGAAGCAGCACCACCAGCCCAACCTTTTGACTCTCAAACACTGTTCTTCCTCTTCTCTTTTCTCTTCTCTTCTCTCTTCCCTCTTCTCTCCTCCCCTCTCTCATTTCTCTCTTCTAGAAAGAAAACATGGTACCAGAGCACAATTCTGGGTGGTAGGAGTCTTCTTTCTCCTCTGAATCACATTCATTCCACGTAGTTTTCTGATTTCTTGGATAGTGAAGGCAAGAAACCCTAATTGAATTGGTCAGAACCACCTGTTGTTTTTTTCTGGGTTCTTGGTCGTAGAACCAAGGTAGCCCTAGTGGGAGGGGCCGATGTTGTGAAGGCTCTTTTTCCTTTGGTCGATGTTGTGAAGACTTGTCCTTTGGATTTGCACCATCGTACAGGTGCTATACAGGGGTGTGTGATCCCCTTTGTCACAGGTATGTGCTGTGATTTGGCATGTGTAGTGTGTAATCCAATGGTGACTAAAATTTAAATTTCTGGACTGTTTCTAGACTGTTTAATTGCTGCTAGTGGATTTCAGCAGTGTTTTTCTTTATTTCTGGACTGTTTAGTTGCTGCCAGTGGATTTCAGCAGTGTGTTCGTTATTTCAAAAGCAGAATTTTTGGTGTTTAGTTCCCTAATTGTGACTGAGAGGTGGTAGTTGAGTGGGGACTGGTCTTGTGCACTTGTGGTTCGGGTTTTGTCTTGTAGATTTTGTTTCTCTCAATGGTGAATGATGATTCTGCCTCATCTAGAGTTACATCAACCCATAGTAGAGCTGGTATAGGAGTTGAAAATATGATGTTTCTTATGCCAATTACCCCTTTAAATGGCCTGAGTTACTTGGAGTGGGCTAAATGTGTAAAACTTTATGTAACAAGGGAAAAAGCTGGTTACATAAATGGAAGAGTGAAAGAACCCAAGAATGGGACAACTAAACATGATAAGTGGGACCAAGATAACAATATGGTGATTTCCTGACTTCTTGCAGCTATGGAACCTGATGTGAAGAACTTTGTTACAGACTGTATAGTTGAAATAGGAAGATGTTACAGACTGTATAATTAAAATAGGA